TTTTTGGTAAGGGCAGGGTTAAGACTAGGTTTAAGACCAGGGTTAAGACTAGGTTTAGGACCAGGTTTAGGACCAGTGTTAAAACTAGGTTTAGGACCAGGGTTAAGACTAGGTTTAGGACCAGGTTTAGGTCCAGGGTTAAAACTAGGTTTAGGACCAGGGTTAAGACTAGGTTTAGGACCAGGTTTAGGTCCAGGGTTAAGACTAGGTTTAGGACCAGGTTTAGGACCAGTGTTAAAACTAGGTTTAGGACCAGGATTAAGACCAGGTTTAGGACCAGGTTTAGGACCAGGGTTAGAACCAGGTACAGGTCCAGGGTCAGGACTAGGTTTAGGACCAGAGTCAGGACCAGGGTCAGGATTAGGTTTAGGACCAGGGGAGGGACCAGGGTAAGGACCAGGATTAGGACTAGGGTTAGTACCAGGGTTAGTACCAGGGTTAGTACCAGGGTTAGTACCAGGGTTAGTACCAGGGTTAGTACCAGGGTTAGGACCAGGGTCAGGACCAGGTTCAGGTCCAGGATTAAGACCATGGTTAGGACCAGGTTCAGGCCCAGGGTTAAGACAAGGGTTAGGACCAGGTTTAGAACCAAGTTTTGGACCAGGGTTAGGACCAACTTGTAACAATGATTACTTGGTCAGATCCCAATTACTGAGCTCACTGTCTTCAACCACTGCCTTGTCCTCCTTTGGGGTGTGCTAAAAATAAATATACATAGATCTAGATTTAGATAAATATCCATATGAGAGAATTATTTGGATACATTTCGAAACGTTGTTGTATTTTGTCCTGCTTTGTTTATGATCTATTTCTACGTGTTTATAGATTGATACCAAAGCACCCCCCTGGAGATCATCCACTATCCTCCTATCCACATCTGTGCGGTAAGGCCATCAAAAATAGACAACGTTTACATTCAACAGAAACTATACTCATACCCCTCTCAGTAGCAGTAGTGGTAGTATTAGCAGTAGTATTATGATAGTAGTCGTATGTGTGCTATTGTCAAAAGTCTAGCACCAGTATAGCTTTAGTACTGCAATAAGAACCTTTACGGCCTCACATGTTTCTCTCCTCGGCAGATTCACAACAAACGATACCATCAAAACTCCCTTTTGCTCCATCATTGTCTCTCTCTGGTGTTCTTGTCCCTTGTTGTCAATCTTAAGTGAAACCACTGCATTGGAGCCGTAGTGCGGTTTTTTCCCCCACTCCTTTATCCAATTTGAGCCGTAATCTCAGAACTCCCCACTGAGCCCACGCAGCCGCCGCTAACTTCACTTACCCACTGAACATAAAGAATGAGCTATTTTGTCTGCCGCCTTTGGACTTTAAACAAGTGTAGCCTGTGCTGAAGAGTCTCATTACGGAGGAATTATGGCCCGGAAAGGGGGCTTTGTCTGAGGATGGTCGGGTGGCTGTGCTTTAGGGACTTAAGGCCAGTGTAGTGGGCTGGATGTGAAATAATCCGGGGAAAAGATTGCTTTGTGTTTGCCCTTGTAGCGGTAATGATTTCAGCACCATGGACAGCGCGACTTAACGCTCATTGGCCACTATAGGCGGAGAGCGCAATTACAGAATGACTCCACGTGAAAGTCTATTATTCTTTTCTTAATCAATCCATAGCGTGCCGTGTGTGTGTAGGCCGCAGGGAGCAGACAGCGGAGTGTATAGTGAGCTGCGCCGTCGTTTTAAAGTTGGGACTTTTATAGGCTGATTTACAGGTCGTGGAAAGAAACATCAATTGACTGAAGGCACTTTTGTTCATAGAAAAACGTGTGCTATCATAGGCTACAAAATTATGTCTTGAAGTAGAGAATGTTGTGATTTTGAAAGCAATATTTGTCATTTTGAAGGCAGCTCAATGGCTTTTTAACCCTTCCTCAATGTGGGATTCAGGTTTTGTGTTTTGTGAATTGTTTCTTGCCGATGCAGGAGTACAGTGGTGATGACCCAGAATGACATTTATCATTGTTTATTATTATTTATGGACCAAAGGCTCTATGTGTTTTTTATCATTGCATTTCCTGTGTTTGAGTTGTTTGATTCTCTGATCTATGTTGGCAAATTGACAACTTTGTAAAGTCCTAGTAAAACTTTAGTAATGTAAAATAAATTGAATTGAGTCATATCTGCGATGAAGAGAGTGTGTAATTCAGGTACTGTTTTGAGCATCTAAAAATAGCTGTAATTAATTATAGTATTATTTTAAGAAGAGCATTGAGGACGTCTAGGAAACAACTGAATGATTTTGGCAAAATATCTAAATGCAATTTTTGTGATGAACATTGCAATTGCGAGTTCTCTCCAAAATGCACTTCTAGAACATGTTTTAGCTCATTGACAATAGTCCAAAAGAATCAAACCGAGAACATTTTCACCTGACTTGCTCTTCAGGTCTTTGTACAATGGTGTACAAAGACATGTATTGATTGATTTTTTCCTAGTATTATCGATTTATTGTATAAAATACTTTATAAATAAATAATACAGATTTTTCATGATTTGACTATTAATTACATCTTATCTTCAATAAAGGAAATATACATGCATCAAAAGTGTTATTTATGGAGAATGTTAGATATTTTTTACTGAACTGTATCGTATTGTTTAGAAATATACAATTTTTTATTTTATTTTTTTCATTTTATCAAACTGAAAGACAGACTTGTATTGTATCGTCAGGCTCTGAAGAACACCCATCCTATTTCATACTACTGCTAAACTAAGAATGTGTCAAAAGCAGCTTGTGGATGGAATATGATTTGTTTGTTTCCAAAGTTTTTAAATGATTAAAGTCTAAAATTGCATTTGAAGAAAATATGCCGGGGTCTGGGGCCGTGTCAGACATTTACTGATGCTACAAAGAGACACGAACAAAGATTGGCTGCATGTGATTTTATACCATGGAGAAATAGACGCTCCAATCAACACCAGCGCCAGTAGCTTTGGCCTTCAGATAACCAAAACCCTCAATAAAGATCTACATAATTTTGCTCTGATCCTGCTTTATCTCACAGCTCTAACAAACAGACATACATGGACAGGCCGTTTACTCAAAGTTTCTGCTGTTTCTGATCTGTAAAAAGTCTTCAGATCCTTCTCCAGCTCTGCACAGTCCAAAAAACTGCTGACTCGCAAACCCCAGATGTCAAGAAAGCACGGCAAAAATCATACTAAAATAAAAAAAAAAAACACTACAGTATAATAAATATGAAAGACAGTTACAGAACAGCAGAACAATCCCAGGAATTGTTTTAAATGGATTTCATCATCAAATACTGAAAATATCAATCAAGTGACTTATTAAACCCATAACATGGAAAATTAACAAACGATAGATATTGAGGCCGAAAAATATGCTTTCCTGTCTGTTATAATATGTTCTTTTGTCCTCAATGATTGGTTGATGACACTAGTGGAAATAAATACTGTTTTTGATGTGTATATATATTTTTCTTTACAAAGTGAATGTGTATTGAGATTTAGCGCAATGAAACTCTGCTTACACACACACACACACACCTAAGCACACGCACTGCTCCTGCTGCTAACTTCAAAGACAGCCTGGAGAAGTGCTTCGTCTGTCAGTCTGAGTGAGAGCAGGTTCTTCCAGGTGAGCCCTGCAGTTACTATCTGCATTTGGAAACGACGAGTTCACCATCATCTGCCTTTGTTCTCCACTGAAGCCTCCTTCTAACACTGCAGGTAGATGTGGACTCTTCAATTACAACAAATTCTATGTATTTGTGTAAAGGACTAGGACTGAGGCTGTAGATCCAGGACTGAGGCTGTAGATCCAGGACTAAGGCTGTACTGTAGATTCAGGACTGACGCTATAGATCCAGGACTGAGGCTGTAGTTCCAGGACTGAGGCTGTTGATTCAGTACTGAGGCTGTATGGTGGCACGGTGGCTGAGTGGATAGCCCTCTCGCCTTTCAGCAAGAAGGTCCTGGGTCGAATCCCGGTCGGAACAGGGTCTTTCTGCGTAGGTTTCCTCCGGGTGCTCCGCTTTCCTCTACCACTAAAAACATGCTCACTAGGTTAAATCCTCCAGCTCCGGTCCTGACCAAGCCGAGCATCAACATCTGGAGATGGGTTCCCTGGCGCTGTACTACGGCGACCACTGCTCCTGACGTTAGCCTTTGTGGCATCAGGATGGGTGAAATGCAGAGGATTGAATGGCCCTACGGGGATTAATAAAGTGCACCTTTACCTTTAGATCCAGGACTGAGGCTGTAGATCCAGGACTGAGGCTGTAGATCCAGGACTGAGGCTGTAGATCCAGGATTGAGGCTGTAGACCCAGGACTGAGGCTGTAGACCCAGGACTGAGGCTGTAAATCCAGGATTGAGGCTGTAGACCCAGGACTGAGGCTGTAGACCCAGGACTGAGGCTGTAGATCCAGTTCACATGTGTTTGTGGATCTGGAGAAGGTGTTTGACAGCGTAAATGCAAGAGTTTAAATAGTTTTTTGTACATAAAGACAATATGGAATCCTGCAAGAAAATGTAGGGAAAAAAGTTGGGTACCACAGCTCTAAGTTAGTGCAGGTTAGAGTTTAACCAAGACCTACGGTTATTGAAATACCATCATAGATCTTTGAAAATATGTGCAATACTTGTGTCATGTATTTAGAAATAGTGACATCATTGTATTGCATCGTGAAGAACCCTGTTTTTTATCATCAAAGCCCGAACCATCACTGCGCGATATCAACATCAGCATCATCACGTCACATTCAGAGGGAGAAAAGTTTTTAATAAGAAAATCTTGACAAATCTAATCGCTACTTTCATACCACACCCGCCCCTCTCTCGTCCCCCCTTCCTCGCTGCCTCCCTCCCTCCCTCCCGTTCCATACAGCGTCACCCACCGCTGCACTGCCCCCTCCCACCGGGACCGAAGGCGGCGTATACAGCGGGGGGAATCCATCCATCCAGACAGGCGTGCAGACCCACTCCCACAAGCAAGCCCCCCGACGCGCTCCCACGGATGGATGCATGGATCATTACGCGACGATTGTGGATGGTCGCGCGTAAAACTGCCCGAGTGGAACAGGTGGCCACCGTGCCGTCCGCTGCGTAACGAAGTGACTTTTACTCCGGAGAATGTGCGTTCATTGGAACACGTTCTAACCAAGAAAAGCAAGTGTTATTTGTCCAGCACGGCGCGCAATCGTGGTAAGTCCCCCATTCAAGTCATGCGTCTTTGTAAAGAGTCCTTCCCAGCTGCAGAAGCCAGTCCACATCCTGCGTGAGGACAACATTGCGCCTGTAATAAAGCGTTTCTGTTACCGCTGGCGTCCGCTGCTGTGATTTATTCGCTTGCTTACAAATGCCACAACGCTGTCACTCACATCCAGAATGAGTGCTCCAGGTGCAAAGGGAGCTAAATGAGATAATTATTATGTTCCCAGGCGCAGCTCAAGACTTATTACGCGTTTATCAAGCCTGAATGTGCAGCTCAGATGGTTTAGAAAGTTACTAATGCAGTATTCTTTTCCTACAGGGCAGATGCTGGCGTCTTCAGGTAAGGGGGACTCCAAAGAATGCCATTTGTTCTGTGTTTGTGCTGAGGTGAAAGAGGAAAAGCTCACGTTGATCATGGATATTCTGAAGCCTATGTCTTTATCAAAGTTGTGCTGAGAGAAATTGCAATATCACAATGGACTATGGATCATAATCTTGCATGTGAATATGATTGAAGAGCTGTCATAATCATAATTCCTACTTTATCCACTTAGAAAAAGTAAGATCCCAGTTTTGACCGCATGCACACACCCACTGCTCTTTCATTTTCTTTGTTTATTTATTTAGGATACCGTCCTATACCTTTATACTGTCATTATAATGTATTGCCTGTTTATAATTGATTATGAAGCACTTTGATTCGGCACAATTCAAACATTTTGACCCCCACCAACTACATTTGATTGATTGATGTTGAGTATGACGGTGACATCACAAGGGGGCAGTCACTCTTTCAGAACAGAAGTTAACAGTTCTTTCATGATGGAGTTTCAGATCAATGGCACTATACACGTCTTCTCTAAAGATTGCTTAATGTTGTATTCATCCTCATTCGTTTGCATCCCTAATCCCACATTTAAAGGCACTGACACGCTCTGGTTCCCTCCTGCACCAGCGTATACAGCTACTGGAGGGGGGTGGAACATCTTGCCCGAGGACACAACTGCAGTATGCACCAGCTGGAGCAGAACTGCTAACTGTTAGATCGCTGAGCAGACTAGAGATGCATTACAAAGGGGATTATATACTGTACAGCTCAATCAGCATAGATCTCTTAATTCACAAGTTTAATCAATTAACTGTTTTGTATCGTTGTCTGTAAATCTATAAATTACATAGTTTCGTGATATTTTGCCACGTCCCCTTTTTAGTCAACTACACAGCCCTAGTCAGCAGCTAAGCAAGTCAGGCCTGGTTGGTGTTTGGATGGGAGACCTGGTATTAGCAGCGGCTTCACAAATTGTGGTTATGTATTAGGCCCTGCCCACTTCACTCACTCAGTCAGTAAGCCCCAGGGCAGCTGTAGCTACAGTTTATTACCGTGTTGCGTATATAGAGAAGATGTACTGTCCACTGTATATAGCCGGTCATGCGCACCAACCAAATATAGCAGTAATTTAGACAGCAATGTAACCAAACTGCTTTGTAGCCTGTTGTTTACATGCGGGTCAGGTTAAGGAGGTTATAAACTACACACAAGTCACAATACTTTGCTTAATGACAGCGTAACAAGCCGTGTAACAAGTGAGAGTTGGTGAAAAGCCAACATGGGTCCAAACAACACACCAATCTTTCCCATCGTAGTCGAGCCATTTCAGCATGTGCCGAAAAACACGAGGGAGAACTTTTGACTGTTCAAATAAGCTCTATGTAAAAATAATTTCATTGTTATTGTTACACATAGAAAGATATTATGCAATAACAGTGACATCAAAATACAGTGCTCTTGCTCGACAAACTCTATTCTATTCAAAGTATGTGTAATTTGTGATACACGTGTGATTCAGCAGTCTCACAAAGCCATTTTAGCTCAGATGGAAAATATATCTTCTACTGTCTGTAATCTCCTGCTATGACAGACCTCTGCTGTAAGGCCATTCAGAAACCAGCACTGTATTTTTTCTGTAGAAGCAGACTCAGTTATTCTAATAAATTGCTGGAATACTGTGAGATCCATGGTCACGGATTGTGGACAAAAGCATCGTTTGTCTATGTCTGAAATGTTCGAAAGTGAGGCTTCTAAGTGCAATGATCAGTCAAACTGTCATTAAAGCTAAATCTGGCCCTAATGACAATTTTAGTGGCCCCTGAAATGATATTCAATAATTCTTTATAACTTGCTGCATTGATGGTTATGGCCATGTTTTACATCCTATTCTCTCAGGAAAACAACCACATTACATTTATTTTGATTTTAACCCAACATCATTACAAGTTACATAGTTAAATTTAAAATAATGTGTTTACTTTTATATTTGATTCAGTTTTGGTGAAATATAAACAATAAACAGTTTTTGTTTTAAGAAAAATGTCAATATACCTCCATAATGTAAAAAAAAAAGATAAGAAAAAGAAACCTCTTTTGTTCTTTCGGCCCGCGACCAGATTCTAGTCTTTTTATTCAAGTTTGACACCCCTGGATATCAGAGAAACTTCAAGCTCTCCTCCATAACCATAGTTTTTGTGATCTTCAGCGCAGCACAGAGCACAAAATGTCACTTTACAAACTCCCTCTCCCCCGCTCCTCTCACACTGCGTATCAGTGACTGCTTTATTCTGATGGGAAAACAGTGTTCCTCCGGGAGTTCTACCTGAATTATTGAGGCCCCGGGGTTTTAAAATTGCAGAGACTTACTGCGTTTTGAGGCAAAGTCCGGGCCCGCTGATGCACACGGGGATCCATCATGGTTTCAGACTAGCGGCCCCCTCAAGCCATCTCCTTTCTCCCCATACATCTGTCACTGCTGCGCTGGGGGAGATAGATGCTTATTCTTCAAATTTCAGTGATGGCGTTTATCCACAGGAGCCACAGGTTTCTATTGGAAAACAAGAAATTATTTAGGCTAATGCAGGGATAACAGCTTGGAGGGCTTTTCTACAAACTTGTTTTAAAATGCATGGAATTCTTAGCTTGGTATCTTTTGGCTTCCTATTTGAGTCTAGCTGTGTTTGAAATGTAAATCTAATAGGGATCTCAATACATTTGATGAGGATGGGAGAAAGAAAGTGTGGCACAGGTTGAGACGATGGAAAGAAAATACTGTCATATCTTTTTCTCTAATCTCACCTTCAGAAACACATCAAGCGTGTGTGGCTTGATTAAATAAAGGTTACACTCAGTTGCAGAAAACATGTTGAATAAAGTCGTCGCTGGTAATTATATTAAGACTGGAGTCGACAGGTTTTTTTCCACCTATTTGTCAAAACGTTATTTCTATGTATTCAGGGTCAAAATCTCCTTCATAGAGTGCACAAAATCAATCGTAGTTATGAATGTGTCAGAATGTGCAGGTTTCAAGAGACTCAAAATTCCCTTAATACTTTGAGTAAATGTTTTATATTATGTTTTTTTAAAATCATGAGAATGTACAGACTCCATTCTAAGGATATAAAACTGGGAATTTTGCTAACATATCTCTTAGGAGCATGCTGTTAAACACATGATTTTATGATGCAAACAATTGACTAAACTAAGCATTAATACTATAATATGAAGAATATTATCTGGCTATAGTCTGGCTGCTGCATTCTGAACCAGTTGGAGGCGGGAGAGGGATTTGGAGTCGAGACCATAGCGGAGGGAGTTACAGGAGATCAGGAGTGAGAATGATTTTAATGTGAAAGAAACAGGACTGGGTTGGTTTGTTTGACGTGATTGTGGAATGTGAAATGAGAGTTGAAGAAGATCATGACATGGCCGAGGGGAACATATGAATAGAAAATAAAATGGGACCTAAAAGAGAACCTTGCGGCACACCACTGATAATGTGGGTTGTTGAGGAGAATACATTCCTCATGGTGACCACAGAGGTTCTGTCCAAAGGATAAGATTAAAACCAATCAAGTGCAGTATCTCTGAAGCCAGCCCACATTTATAGGGATGCACTTGTCACAGATAACTTATTGCAGAATTCTTACACATGTGTGGTTCATCCTGCAAGTCACTGAACAACATAAAGGTATTCAGGAAGATATCTGTACCAATCCTTGATGTCTGTATCATTGTGATCAGCACCAAAGACACGTCACACTGGCTGCACATGGGCAGTGGAGCGCTGTCTGGTTAGGCAAAAATGAAAGAGCAGCAAAAAATTTAGTTGAAGAGGTGAAAGAGGATCAAGATACAACTGAATGAAAGATAGTAATGAAGTAAAACTAGAGTGTGGAAACCACATTCTGGAGTTTTTAACTGTAGTAAATTGCAGTGGGGTGGAAACATTGTTTCTGACTTTCGATGCATTTTGTAGTCTATGCATTGTTTTTATTAATGCTTTCATATCTGCCGCTGTAAGTTCATAGGACCTGCACCAGTACTTTATACATAGTAGTAGTAGTAGTAGTAGTAGTAGTAGTAGTATGTGTAAGCCCTCAGTCGTACAGGGATTTGTCAAAGCAAAGGAAGGTTTCTCACCCATCATCTGTACTTCTTAGCAAGTTTTCCTCTTAGCAAAACTTGCTAAGAAGTACAGATGATGGGTGAGAAACCTTCCTTTGCTTAGTAATAGTAGTAGTAGTAGGCGATTGTAGTATTCACACAGTGATAGATCAGAATACTAAATGTAACACTAACCAGTTAATATAACCATGCGGGACAATGCTGTGTTAATGTGCACTCCAGTTGTCAGGGAGGGAGTCAAACTATAGAACAAAAAATTATAATTCTAGAAGCGCATGTCCTCTCTTCCTCATCTTGCACCATAATTGGCCATTACAATAACAGCGATTCCACAGTTACTTTGTAAAAATGGCTTCATGACAAATTTCAGGCAGTAGAAGTAAATCTATCTATTCCAAGACGTAAGTTAGGTGTCTTTCTCTGTTTGGCTTTTCTAGGCTGAGGTCATCTGAGCAAATTGTCTGCTGAGTGCACGCATTTGCAAATTCAAGTGTTACACCAAAAGGTCCTCTTTTCAACAGCCGCTTTCCATGTTTTTTGGTCAAGCACCAATAAATGTCAGATAGTAATGAAACACAATCATTTATATTATGTGGCCATACTTGCGTGCGAAAGCCAGATCCCGTCAGACCTCTGGCGCTGTGCTGTGATGGGAGACCTCTGGGAACACAAGGTGCCACAGTGGGGCAGCTGCGGCTGTAGTGCCAAACTGTTGTTGTGTCCTCAGGCCAGAACCTTCAACCACATTGCCTAGAAATGAGTCTGGTGTGTGTGTGAATGGTTGGTGGTGGTCTGAGGGGCCGATGGCACATACTGGTTGCCTCGCTTCTGTCAGTGTGCCCAGGGGCAGCTGTGGCAACGGTTGTAGTTTATCACCACAGTGTATGGAGTGAAAGATTAATGACATTCTCCTATTTTCCCATTTTTTTCTGCTTTATCTGTTGCCGGGTCATGGATGCAGCAGTCTAAACAGAGATGCCCAGACTTACCAACCAATTTTAATTTTATGTCAGCCAATTTTTGGATAACCTCCTGGAAATATGACAGTAAATTTGTGTCTGTCCTAAATCAGACATTCTAGGATAAACATGGACCGATTTGAACAGAGATTGTTTCCACTTATAATTAGAGAAACTTCATCATCAGAGGCCAAAGCTACAAGATCTCAGCTTCCCATAGATTCCAGCCATTTGTTTGTGCTCCAAATGGCTCTTTAACAGTTTGATTTTCTTTTCAACCTAATTTTGGATGTGTTTTAGATTAGAAAAAAACGTTGATGTTGTAAGCAGTTAAATTGAAACCAAGCAATAAGTGGCGGCAAACTTTCCAAACATTCTCGGTTATTTTGCCGCATGATCTCTCTCATTAAGGCTGCAATATGATTCATCACTAATCAGCCTCCTCACATCTCATCCTCCCACCTGGACCCCTCAAGTACCTGGAAAGCAGTGATCCTTCTCTCTATTAAAACTGTACTGTCTTTGTTGTACGCACACGGCTTGGATTTCGCTTTCGTGCGACGACGTAATCTCGTTCGGTTCGTTGGGGGAAAACAAATTACAATGTGACACCTCTTTGCGCTGCCTCTGTCTCCTGCCCTCACCGTGTCAACAGATGATAAAGCCGCTAAATATAGACCGCTCTCACCTCCACGTTTTAGGCAGCGAGAAGAAATGTGCCGCTCGCGAATGTATACGGGGACTGCAGATGTGCTAAAATGCTACGCACAGGGAGGCGTGCAGACAGTAGAGAGTGTTAAAGCTGAAGAGAGGATTTTGAAATACGTCGGGAAGCATTTGCGTTTCAATCCCTGAGATGTATGTCACGGTGTCCAAACATTTCAGTAAGAGGCCCACTTTAGTTCAGCAGACCTGTCCAAGGAGGTCGACAACACGGATTGTAAAACTGTTCTACAGTTTGCAGGCTGTTCTGATCTTAAAATTAAGTGTGATTCATGTTGACAAAGCAGAAGTTGGCTGGATGACAAATGTTTACTATGTGGTCAGATATAGTGTTTGATACGGGATTTTGAGACACAAACAAAACCAAATGCCAGTATACACAAATAGAGTCAATGGTTGGATTCTCGAGGTTCTGAGCTTCACAACAAGGTACTGGCTGAGCTGAAGTTGGCTGGATGACACTGTGAACTTGTGTTTATAATCTCAAAAGACTAGTTTGAGTTAGCAAGGCAGATAGCCACTTACAATTTACACAGAGGGCCGCATTTGGACATGTCTGATGTATGGGAATAGTCAATAGAAAATGTCTGGATTCTGTGTGACGCCCCCTACAGGTAACAGTGGGGAGTGAAACATGCTGAAAAGGTGTAACGCAGTGCAGCTAATCAAGCAAACCTGTGGATAACTGCACAGTGTTGGATGTAATAATAAGACCCACCACTATCGCAATATTTCCCCAACATTTTTACCATTTTGGGGAACAGAACAGAATAGCAGATGTGACAAATGAAAAATAAAAATTAGTGACAAACTTTTACTCTGAACGAGGACACAGTACGTAGACGAAAAGAAAATCCTGATATCTGAACTCCTGGATATTTTGTATCTTCTACTGATGACTTAACCGCCTCTTCATGCACTGTTGCTACCACATTGATGCAGTCTTTCGGTTTTAATTCAGGGGTCAAATTGCAATCTACCAAAGTTGGTTACCCAGCACGCGAGTTGAGATACCCAGCACGTACCCAAACACCTGTGCTGTTCTGGTTTGGCCTTGTTCTAAATTCAGGTACTGGTTAAATTTTGGATGAAAGACCACTGAACCACAGGGCAAGAATGAGAGGGCAAATGTGTCAGCAGCATAGACTGTAAAAAATAATGGACGTAGTCATGCCTATCTCCGCCGTTCTAACTAATGGGCCAAAAATAGTGCCCTACTGGAGCTTTCCAAAATGGCCACGAGTGGTCCCGCCCACAAGAAAATGTGAAAAAACGCATCTGCGTCAGCCATCGCAAGCTCCATTCATTTGAACGAGAGACTTAAAAAATTCACAGAAAGTAAACTAGAGTGGACCAAAAAAATCCACCCCCCTCAGCATTGACACACATGTGGAACGGAGCTTTGGGCCAAGAGCCAACTTTTGGTCCATCCTGTAAAGACGTTTTCGAGAGGTCAACCAATGCTATGTGTTATCATTGGCTAATTCTTATTCCGGGTCCACCCCCATCGGCCCGGGGTGGTATTGCAAGCATGTCAGCGCACGTCATTTTGGCCACTTTTGAGCTGGGACCCGCCCCCACTTGTCAGTAGGCAAGACACTTTAACCACAGTTACCTCCTATGAATCTGGAGTAAGAGGGTCAGGTGGTGTTAGCATGTCCTATAGGCAGCAGGAGCTTACCATCACTCTGTCTGGAGTGAATGAATGAAACAAATTCAAACATTATAAAGCACTACAGTACATGAATATAATTACGACTGACCTTTAGGCATGCTATACTGGCAACACGAAAGAAGGATCTTGACAGTAAAAGTAGACTTTAACAATGACTCAACATTCCTGAATCACTCTGATGTAGCCTAGAGATTTTTTGTTTGAGATCTGTTAAAGCCTTGGATGTTTTGTCGTGTTCAGTCTCAGTTTGGATGTGCTGTGTGGGTTGACATTTGGAATAACACTACATATCAAATCCACCTGACCTTATGAAGAGTCCTGGTCTGAATCTGTGACAGGGGGAGGTACTACACACACAGCAGAGGAGAAACGGGGAGGGGAGCCGACTCGACTTGGCTTTTAACAGCATTATCCCTGTGTATATAATTCATCAGACTGACGTAATGGAGTAGAACAGAGCAGGTGTGTGTGTGTGTGTACGTGTGTGTGTGGGTGCGTGTGTGTGTGCGTGTGTGTAGGAGGCCCTCTCTTCAACATCAGCACACAATGAACCCACTCTTTGTGAATCATACCTGAACACTGATTGTTGATAGCGCTCATCATCACAATAGGCTGAATATACTCCATCAGTGAACTATGTTGCTGTTGCTTTGCTGCTAAAACTTGAGCTGGAGCTGAGAAATCTCTGGGTAATTGCCTTGGTTTCAGTCATGAGTTATAATCCTCTGTCCATAAAGAAAAAAAGAAAAGAGAAACCACAAATGTAATGGCTTCTCTGCATGTTGACAGGACAATGTTGGAATGTTTTTTTCCTATTTATTGCGCTACAGGAAAACTAATCATAATCTGCCTTGACATTTGTATGGTGAAAGCCTGAAGGCACACATTAAACAAACATTGCCTGATTCGGATGTAAATACCTCAAATTAAAGAGGACGTTGCAGCACAGAGTAAAACATCTGAAAATTGTGAACCTTTGTCTACCTGATTTTCAATGTAATAAAATCCATGCCACCAGTTCTTAGCTCCTGATTCTTAGCTCCTAATGTAGTTTAGTTCTATCGCTAGTTTTCTCATGCACGTATCTGGCCTCTATCACATATAGATCAGCTCAACAGAAAATACATAGTGACTCACGTGAGAATATTTTTCACAAGCATGCAACAAATGGTTCCTAATGAAATGGAGAGATTTCCTGAGATTCTTTCTGTAAGGATAAAGAAAATCAATTATGAAAGGAAAAGTTGGGTACTCACAAAATATCAAATCTGCCCTTTATCTGTGTTATTTTTACATTATGTCCTAACATATGCAGTACTGAGTTAAATTCAGACATTAATCAACGCAAAAACTGAATTTCAAGAAGTATAAAAGTATAAAATCACATAAAAAGACAAAATGTTGAATTCTTGGAGTGAGTACAAAATCTTGTGGTACCATTAAAAACTGCTTTAATGTTATGTTAAAAATTGCAGCTCAATGTCCACAGAAAATGTCATGTTTTAGATTATCGCCATGGTAACAACATTATTATCAACTCTATCAGTATCAACTTTCAGTATCGTAAACAAGTTTGATATTTCAGTCTTGTGACAACAGCTGAACAGAAGTAAAAGCATGCGGTTACCTGTGGTTTGTGGGTCGCTCAGTTGGGAACAGTGGGGAGCCCAAGTGCATGCTGGTCCTCAGCTCGAGCCTCTGGTGCTATAATCAACAGCCTCTTTCACCTGCTGCTGCTGTCAGCAGGAGCAGAGCGATGAAGGGACTGTCACTGCACTCCATCCTGTGGTACACACACATCTCTGATGTGAGGTACATCTCAGCAGAACTACAAAAGAAAACCTAAGCTACAATGTCTTTTTCCTTTCACAATTGTGTAGTTGCTGACACATAAATAAAACACATATATTTGATATATAAAAGTCCTCTTTTTGGCTGAACAAAATAAGCAAAGGATGGCAACAGGTTATATCGATTCATGAAAATTATAACGAAAAGAAATAAATAAAAAGATATCTTTTCTCATGGACTATAATTTTAGTAATCAAGTGTTATCTACTATTTTTTCTTTCATTGTTTACTACATATTCTATATGTGTTTTAGGAAAAGTGTGAATCATATTTAGAATAAAATGTATAAATATTATTGTACAAAGACACTTCAATGCTGAATAATATTTTTGCCTTCAGAGCAGTGTTGGCAAACGCAAAACATTTATGTCAATGTCAGTGTCAGCTTTATTTGTATACCACATTAATAACACCAGGTTCCCAAAGTGCCTCACATGCACTAAAGAAAAGAAAAAAAAATGAAATACACACGAATACATGGCACAAATCTGTCTTTAGACTAGATTTTAAAACCTCCATTGTTTGAAATAGCACTTTTTTTGGACACATGTCATTATTCATTCACTCCACACACAGTGGTGATGAACAACTGCTGTAGCCACATCTGACAGAAGCAAGGCAACACGACTAGCTCAAGTATTTTTTGTGACGGATTAATTTGATGAATACGATACATTGTTTAAGCCCTAATTTTTAGTCCGCAAAAATACAGTAATATCCCATGTCTTCAGCCAATTGTAATAACATCCATCCAAATGCATTATTGTTATGACCCCCAACATTTCAGAGCACAATCTAGGACCTGTCATACTGCAAAAAGTGATGAAAAATAAGTTAAAGATTGCTTAAAATTAGAAAAATGTTTCTTAATTTTACCACATTTTGACTGCCTTAAAACAAGATTCGCCAATGGAACAGACAAAATCCTCTTGTTTTAAAAATATACAAGAAATGTCTCTCTTGGAATGAGAAAATAAAGCAACAGTTCTTGAAATAAGACTGAATGGCTTTGTCCCATTGGCAAATCTTGCTTTTAGACAGTCAGAATGTACTCAAATTAAAATGAAAATAAAGAACCCTTGATTCAAGTAATTATCTCATAATTTATAATTTTTGCAGTGCAGGACTTCAACTGGACTGACCATGTGACCGCGCAGAATGGAGGGTGCACCTGACCATTAGTATGCCTCAGGTGTTTTTCTTTAACTCTGGAGCATATGGTTAGCGCGGCTACGTTCAGCATGCTAATCGACCTCAGCATTAAGAGCCACAGCTTCCACAGTGGAGATTGTGTCTGCCATATTTCCAATTTGACTGGGACTAACTGAGATGTGTCACAGGCTTGTCTGGTACTTATTATTCATACAATTATAATATAGAAAATAATAGTGCTGCAAATGGGAGAAATATGCATATTCCTTGAGGACGAAGATTCTATTCCTTTAAACATGTCTCCGTGAATGGAATTTAAATTGGTCCCTCGATCTTCACCTTCGTACAGAGAGAATTAAAGTTGCTGATTTAGTGTTCGGCACCAGGGACAATTTGGAAATTTAGCGACCAAAAAAGGCTGAATGTGAAATGCAAAATTATGAACTGGGCAGAAATTATCCAGTGTTTTGGAACTCATTACCTGAGCTTACTCCGGCATCGCTCAGACCACCTTCTCATATGAGTGGAATAAGATTTTAATATATTGGTAAACACAATTTTGAATTCTCATGAACTTGCCTTTTTATACTTTTATTTCACCAGGAAAGTCCCACTGTGATATCAGAATCTCTTTTTTTCAGGGGAGTATTTGGCCCCAGAGTGAGGAGAATTATTGTATATGTTTTTATAGTTAGAGGAAACAGCAGCATCTGGAGGAAACCTATGCAGACAGGGAGAGAACATGCAAACTTCACACAGAAAGGCCTTGCCTATAAGTGGAGTCGAACTCTGGACCTTCTTGATGAGAAGCGAGAGAGCCACCAGAACGCGTTTAGTGATTTGAATTGGTCTATCGATCTGCAATAATAAGCCTTCCAATCAATCTCTTTAAGCATGTTCTCATTTTGTACAGAAAAAAGTTAAACAAAAGCAAACATTTGGTCAAAATGCAAAGTAGAACTATTGAGAATATAAAATTAACAGTTAATAACCAAAATATTTGTAAGTAATTAAAAAAAAAATCCTCAGAGATAACTACAGTTGTGATTTAGGGCTATACAAAAATACATTGAATAGAATAGACAATATATGGATTCAGGCAATTTCTAACAATGAGTGGGAAAAAGGTCTGTGTTCATAATAATCTTCAAAATATGACCAAAACAATAAAATCTCTGGGTGTGCGAACGTGTATCTTATCGACATGATCAAATAAGACCCATGTCAGAAAGGAAAGGTCTTTAATAATGCCAAGCTTCGCCATATTCGATGATAATTCTCTCTTGCCTTTGTCTTGTCTCTGTCCCAGCGTGACCAGTGAAGCCCGCGGCGGACTGCTCCTGACCGCTGACCTCCCAGATGTCCCGCTGATGTAAAGACTTTTGTTTGTTTATGCCGCCTGCAGCCTCCAGGGGGCACTCTGCTGCTCATCAATGTTGTTGACCTCTGCACACAACAAAGCAGTTAATGCACACATGTAGCAGCGAGCGTAAACAGCCCACGGACTCAGATCTGGGCTTTGTCATGTCCTGTGAGTCTGGGACGCACAAAGGCACTGAAAGAACTCTTTAAACACGCCTGGATCGAACACAGATTATAGACAGAAATGAGTTTTTTTCATATTTGTCCATTGATGCATTTAAAAGATTCAAACATTTAATATATAGATAGAAAATATATTATTAAAACAAAGTACTGTACAGCCACCTTTACCTTTGGTCCTTGTTCTGTTTCAGTATACATTTTGTAAAGAAAAATTACAATATGAAAAGACATATTCAATAAAAGTAATTGTTTCTTCAGAATGCCTCCAAAAATTAAAATAGTAAATACACAAATATAACCAAAGATTTGAATGTTTGTGTTCACGTTCACCTCTCCTTCCCTATATTTTAAATCAACCTATATCCATAAATGCACAATGTAATAACCTCTAAAAATAACCTCTAAAAGTGTCCTGTTGCTAATAGGAGTGTGACAACATATCGATATGGTGATGTATCGTGATACTTTCTCAAGCAATCGATTATCAATATGCTTTTGCTAAGTATCGATTTTTTTTAAGCTTTACTTGAAGTATTGATACTTAATATATGGCTACTTTACGCATTGTACAATTTCTGTAGAATGTTCATATTGATTTTATTGGATGTAAGACTGATTAAGTAAGATTTTTACTAAAATGTGCAGGTTAAAAACATTTTGCTTGTTCACTTTAATGTTACACATAACACTTTATCCATTTGTCTTGAAATAATTTTAATGTATTGTATTAAGTATTTCTTCACTTAATTTATACCATAAATATAAGAAAAATATTATCATATGTGTATTTTTGACCAATATATTGATTGCTGCATCGTCATATTGTGAGATAGTCGTTATCGTGAGCTTTGTATCGCACATCGTATCGTATCGTGAGGCACCCTGAGGTTCCCACCCCTAGTTGCTAACTAGCACATTGCACCAATCCTGCAAAGAGAAAAACAGCTGTCCATCCATTTTCTTTCGCTTTATCCGTTGCCGGGTCACAAGGGCAGCACTCCAAGCAGATAGTCATTATTTAACCATCGGCCAGTCTTTGAAAAAAATCAACGCAGGCCACGAAAAAAACACATATGGGTGGATCTTTAATGATACATCAGTCAAACAAGTAAAAATAATTCCGAAAAACACAAATATATAAATATAAACTAACAAAAACACATAACTTTGTACATACATTACTTGAAAAAAGGGAGCTCAACCACTCAAACGGACAACAATTTAGAACAAAATCATTCAAAAACACAACAAAAAGAACAAAAAAGAAACACCATACAGTGTGTATGGTGTTTCTTTTGACCCAACACCCATTACCGATCTATGCTGTTGTTATTTTCACTCTCTTTCCTCTTCTTCAAAACTTCTCTTTCACACATTCCTACAACTTTGAGCTAATCTGCTTGTTTCCTGTGTTCTGGGCAGGTCTTATAGAAGCCTTTGTTGGTGAGTTCACGCTGTTCCTGGCTCGGGGTGAGAGAGTGCGGCCCTCACGCACATGTGGTTCTGCAGGTTGGATGGAGAGCAGGTCGAATGTCCGCTGGAACGATCGTGATAACTGGGGGAATTCTGGCCGGAGTCATCCTGCTGTGCATCATAGCAGTGCTCTGTTACTGCAGGCTCCAGGTACCCTTTAACCCTTTAACTCATTTACTGCCATTGACGTGTTTGTCTGAAGCTGGTGATTTCTGTCAAACTTCCCTCTATTCAAATGGGGATTACAGGAGAACAGAAATAGCTAGAAACAAAAATATTTTGCTGATGAATGTAGACAGTCCAATCTTTCAGAATCTGGTTTCATAATAATAATAATTGAATGTGAATAATTCACATAGTCATAGCACATATTATTCTGTGGGTCTAGAAAGTCAGTGTGTTAATGGTTGAAAATGACATGACATCATACTAGTGTGTGTTTTGATGAGAAGAGTTCCCGTGGTGGGTCAATATAGCAAATCTTTTAAATAGATATGACAACATCAGTTTGGCACTTTCCACCCCCCCAACCCTCTGTGGCACCTGTTGGAGGCCTCCCAAGTCTCACTTCAGAGGTGTGACGAGATCAGGCATGCACAAAGATAACTTTTCACATAATACTTTCTATACCATAAGATCTAACTGTTGTTCTAGTACTGCACCATTGTTAAATTCATTAACTATTTATAAGTTCATATTGGATACAAGTGAACACACACACACAAAGGTTTGCTTCATTTAGCTGTTTATAACCTGATGTAAAGACAAGATGAAAGAACACTATCATGAAGGCCACACATTCTGTTGTCATCACTTGTGTAACTCACAGTGTCTGCACTTTATTAGAACAAGAATACATACTAAACTTAAACTTATACATGTGTGTTGCATTAGAAAATAGTTTGAAGTAGTGCTGTCCAACGATTAAAATATTTAATCGCGATGAATCGCATGAATTTCATAGTTAACTCGCGATTAATCGCAAATTAGTCACACATTTGTATCTATTCTTTATGTCCCTTGAATTATCATTTTAATACTACTAAAAAGTGAATAGGCGTGCTGTGTGCCTAACCCTAAACTCAGGCGGGCAGACTTTATATCTTATCTTATCTGTGGGGTGTATGTGTGTGTGTGTGTGTGTGTGTGTGTGTGGAGTGTGTGTGTTTATGGGTGTGGGTGTGTGTGTGTGTGTGGGTGTGTGTGTGTATGTGTGGGTATAGACCATAGACTGTATAGAAACATCATTGTGTCATTATGATGATGATAAACAATCTGTAAATATTTTGTAAATTTGTTAATGTAAATACTCTATGCTGTTTCTCTGTTTACTTTCGGTATATCTATGACTGTATACTGTTTGCTTGTATTGCCTTTTGTATTAACCCCTCCCCCCCATCTCCCACTTCATGTCCCCCCCCCCCCTCCTATGTGCCCTTCTGGGTTTCTTCTTTGGCCCCCTGTATCTCCAACTACATATTGTTTGTAATCTCTGTCTACAATGCATCTGAACTAGTCCTTTTCTTTGTTTCTATTTTTTTTTCTGTATATGTGTTTGTCTGCAATAAAAAGTAAAAAAAAAAAAAAAAAGCGCGCGATACAAAAAATGACGCCGTTAATATTATTTTGGATATACTATATATATTTTGGACAGCACTAGTTTGAAGCAATAGTACTCAAAAGAAATGCAATCCTTCTGTGTCTTTCGTCCAATTTCAGGTTTTTCAGAAAAGTCCACCAGAATAAAATGCCAAACTCAAGTTGAAGAAGACAATAGATAATTTGGTATAAAGATAAAAAAACATATGAAGTACAACCTTAGAACTCAATATTGAAACTGAATATATAAAACTCAGTCATTACGCACAGCTAAATAGAACGGTTTCCAGCCTGGACTTAAACAATTGCGAACTATCTAAATGACGTCACTAAGACACGCCCCCGCCGCCTATCAACTCCCGCCCACATGTTTCGGACAAACACTGCCGAAATGAATCAAATACCACTTGTCACTTTAGACGAAAATGATATATACCAGGAGCAAAATTCCACCATAAAACCATCAGGGATCATAGTGTAGACCAATTAAAACGTTGGCTTGAATGTCGTGGTCTTCCAGTGACTGGTAGAAAGTTTGAACTGATAAAAAGGTAATGGTGAGGATTATGCTAACATTATCCTGTCATTTAAATTGCAATGCTAGCACCTTCTTTGTTTATTTTGCTGTGATTAACTTCCATTTATCAAGTTGTTTTTTGTACTGTCCACTTTGTAATTAGTTTGATCATTAGTTAGCTACTGTCAGCCGATATTATACCAGATCCATGGGGTCACACGGGATACGCCACTACTGTCTCTGCAGAGAGAAACTATCGGAGCTAGCCACACTCAATAAAAACGCAAATGACAATCAACACATTTAAATGTTAATGGAAGAATACATTATACATACAGTCGTAACACACGTGCACGGAGGTTTTCAAAAGTATCTGTTAAGGTTTTCATGACAAAAATACTTTTTTAATGCGACTAAACCGATCGCTTTTTTGAAGTAGGTTAACTAGCCTCACTGTTACTCGCCTGCCACGGGAAAACCTTTGGGAACTATTTTCTTTGCACTTATAAACCTTTATAAACCTTATAAACCTTTCGGCATTAATAAAAGTGACTGAAGTTTATTTTGTGTGTTCAGTTGGTACAAAGCCGTATTATAAGCGGACCCCGACGCGCTTTATCTGTACTTATTTTCCGATAGTCACGAAGTTGAAAAAATCCCTCTCATCTTTCTTCAGGTGTGAGAATTGTATACATTCTGGATTAGGGCAAACAATACTAACATGGATTGATGGGGTAGAGGGTATAAAGAGAAAGTTTGTGCTAACTACATTCAGAAGAGCTCAGACGGACTTGATACAGCGGTCCAGGTCCAGTCCCAGCTAAACGTAGCTATGACTGGATCTGGAGGCTCCACAGTTGGTCCAGCGAAGTGTTTTGAAAATACATTTGTCCTTTTTAACCTTTTCATGAGAGAAATTCTGCCGACCACAAGCACAAACCCACCTCTTGCACTTGTCCTGGTCTGGTCCTGGTCTGATCTGGTCCTGGTCTGGTCCGATGGTGTGGTGGGTTTAACGAACGGGTTGAATGTTACTTTCATTGTCCTTTTCAGAGTATCTGAAATCGCTCCGACAAGTACCATAACTGCAGTGTTTTGTTGTCACCATGATTCAATGATTTAGCCCAAATAAATGCGCACGCTTATGTGGAGAACACAGTAGTACTCAACGAGTCGTACACAATGTTTGTCCGAAACATGCGCGCATGCGCAGTCATCTGAGCTATTTTTAGCACATTTCGGAAACCGGACAGTGCCCTATGTCAGAGATGAGGCCTCCCACATCTTCAGGGATTCTGCCTACCATCATAAGTAAAATAGTTTGGGCACCCCTGATTTAAAAGACAAAACTTAAAAACCTCCCAAATATGAATACCCCTTAAATCCTAGAACATAAACTCAACCTATAGCGCACTACTGCAATATGACCCTGTATTTAGTGGGTTAGTTTAGTTTATTATTATTGTCACATACACATTATATGCAGTGAAGACATGGTTTAGCTTCATAACACGCAAAAAAAAACTCTTGGGACCAGTACAACGGCAGCCAGTCTTTCTCAGCACCATCTTGTAAATGTGTATTATCCTATAAGTATTATGATAATCCTCACAGTTGTCCCGGTCTCTGCCTCGTCCACAGTACTACTGCTGTAAGAAGGCTGAGGCGGAGGTGGGCCTGAGCTCTCTGGGGGCCGACCCTCTCTCTCACTTCCCCTGTGACGCCTGCGCCGCCCTGGAGATGGACGGGACGGACATCACTCCTGTGTGTCTGGACCAGCTCTGTCTCCCCAACACCGCGGCTTCCATCGCCTCCTCCGTCTCCGCCCTCAGCCCTTGTCCCTCCTGCCCCTCCTGCCCCACCTGCTCCCCGGGACTGCACAACGGGGGCGAGCGGTTGGGCTTCCACACCTACTACTACGAGCCGCCGTCCCACTGCTCCACGCTGCCGCACACGCCCTCCGCCCTCAGCCTGAGCTTCTACGGGTCGTCCGATATGTTCCCCCCGCCACCGCCACCTATACAGTCATACAGCACTGATGTGTGAATGCAGACATGTATTTAAAGTGCATATGACAGGTTGGAACTCCACTTTTCACATTTTTCTTTGAATAAGACGGATTTAAGGTCTATAACTCCTCAACTGTAACTTGTTGTGTTTTTATTACAGTTTCATCAAAAGTGAATGAGTTGTGTAAACTGTCCTAATCATTCTTGTATGAGCTCTGAGGCTGCATCCAAATTCATAAAAGCATACTTTCCACAACCTCTCCTCCTGCGCTCCACTGGGTGCCAATGAAACAGCCTTAAACATAATCTTAAAGCTAGAGTACCTGATTTTTTTAACCATTAAATAATACATTCTGTTTGTCTTAACAGAAAGAGTCTTGTAAAAGTGAAATGTTGTGACTGAATCAAACAACATTCTGTCTTAATCTAATTTGCTGCAGCACGGTGGCTGAGTGGATAGCACTCTCGCTTCTCAGCAAGAAGGTCCTGGGTTTGAATCCCGGTCGGAACAGGGTCTTTCTGCGTAGGTTTCCTCCAGGTGCTCCGGTTTCCCCTACCACTAAAAGAATTGTACAATAGGGATGAATGTAAATGAGAGAGTGAATGGATTGTGTTGATTGGGGGCTGATGCGCCAGTGTGTTCGACGACTCGTTTCTGTCATCACCGTGTGTGGAATGATTGGAACAATATCTGACTCTGAACATTGTAAAGTGTTTTGGGTGATAAAATAAACATTACTTACTTTGAAAAATATTTTATCCTTTTGCATGCTGTGTGTGAAAGAGCCATGTGAGTCACTATTTGATTTTCTGAGAGTGATGGTAGTCCTTCTATCTCAAAATGTGACAAGGGCCAAAAAGAAAATACGAATTAAAACAATTTATGTTAACTAGTGACTAGCATGTGACAAACTATTTACGTAAACGGTTAATTACATATTGTTGATTTTTATTGTGGTTTGAATGTTAGGTACCCTGGCTATAAATTGAACTTCCTATCCTATCCTTTCCAATAAGACTGTAAAAAGAATGGATAAGGATTATTTTTTACGAATTTGGATGCAGCCAGAGATGCAGATCTTGTCATAGAACTTCCTGGTTTCACTTCTTGTCATTTTCAATAATATTTTCTGCTTCCCGATTGGTTCAAAACAACAATTTATAATTCCAACACGCATCAACCCATCAAATATTGTAAAAATGTGAAAATCATGAAATCCTGTCATGCGTACTTTAAGCACACGAGCTGCAAGAACGAGTCTGGTTCTGGGCTTTTACGGCACATTTACTTTACACTCCAAAAAGTGGAATATCTATCTATATATTATACTGTATATGTTTACTGAAATTACTTGAATTATTTTACTTTGCTTGGACTTTTTATTTCTATCTGGAATCAACAAAGGAGAAGAGAGAGTCAATTGCACACAATTATAATTCTTAGCACAATTTTCTCACATCTATGGATCACACACACATGCATATTATGGGCACCTTTCATAACTTTCTGAGCATTATTAACTAACGGGAGCTAAAGCCACATTAGCGAAGCACAACCATAAACTACTCAATACTTCATTTCACTTATACAATTGAAGTAAATTAACTTGTTTTTTTCCGTCAAGAATTTGATATACCAACACTTCTTTCTTAATTTGTTTCAGTAAATAAAACATTTTGAGTAACTGTCACACGGGCTGGACCAAGTTCATTACAACTAATTTAGTAAGTCCAAAATTGTCAGGCTACGAAAAGAGATTTTATCGCTCTGAAAAAGATTGACATGAAAAAGACACAGGAAACATGAAGGTTTACCGTTTACGTTTTTTTGTCAGTGAATATAGGTGTGGTTATCATTATAGCTTACTCTATGTGCCTCTGTTTGGTCAGGGAACCTTTTACAGTCTTTGGGGAAACTTCAACCCTAAATAAACAATCACATTCAAAGCAAACCACTGGACTAACTGAACAACAAAGCAAGCGTTCATTAAAGCCTGACATGTTACTGTTTTGGAATGCTGGCGACATAATGGAGAATAAATAAATTGCCGAACATTTATATTGTTGTAAATGAGTGTACATGTGATTTCCCCAACTGGACATGTGTGGTTAGACGAGCCGCAAAAGTCTGTTCTGCTTCCGGAGGTAAAAATCCCCATATTCTCAAATCCAAATTCATGGTGTTTAAGGAAAGAATGAAGGTGAGCTATAGCTATGTGGTAACTACTGTAACAGCATGGGTTTTTTTCAATATAAAAATCACAAATAAAACTTTGAATTGTGTAAATAACTGCAGGTTCTAATGTAGGTCACAGAGCAGATCATCCCCGAACAAGCATATACTGTGTTTTTCTTTTTAGAATACTCTACAATTTCTATCAAGTTTATTTACTGAATAATTTCCACCACCCCAAGTGTGTCCTGTGAGTGTGTGGTTTTTTTTGGTTTTTTTTTTAATGTTATATTGTTTGCTCTACTGTCTGCCTTACTGCATCTGTCATTTTGTACAATTTTGAGCACCCCCTCGAAAACTAGATGTTTCATCTCTAGGGGCTTATCCTCCAAACAAATAAATAAATGTATACAGAAATTACAAACACGTTTCACATCCATACATCATATTTCATAGTTTTAATGCTTTCTTTTGCTTTTTTAATGTTTATTTTCTAAGATTGCTGCATGGTTGCTGTTTAACTACCGATAGTGGTATATATTGTATTATTCCTACAGTTACGCATTGCAGCAATCACAACAAAAAGCACTGAAATTCATCAAAAATAGCCATCTTCCAATATTGCAGCGACGCATCCACACGTTCATATTTATATCCCCACAACAATCATAACTTTGTATTCCACCTGCAAAGAAATTAAACTTTTTTCCAGTTGAAGGCACGTTTCACAGCGGTAAAAACCCTTTCCCCTGGGAGAAGACAATTGAGGCCGCCTGCAGAGTGACAGTAAAAAGATTCCCACTCAAATATGACCCAAATGTACCTTTACCTTGTTTTGAACCAACTTCAATTCACTTCTAACATGTTTATTTCCCTTTTGCTGATTGCAAGATTGTCTTTTTCAGGCTTTAGGATCTTCATGGCTCCTTTGTGGATGCTTGTGTGATAAAAATGAGCCCCAGAAGAAAACATAAGAGACGCATCATTTCCAAATGTGTGCGATATTCACAGTTTTCAGAGTGCATCATTTGCTGAGCGTCCAGTCCTGTGTTTTTATTCTTATCCAGAGCTCAAAATGATCTTGTAACTTATCATTTGTAGTGGTTAAGTGGATGGAATATAGCTATAAAAGAAACTGCAGGCCTGTTTTTGGAAAGGAAACAATAATGTAACCTAATTCAAAGTTCAAAACAGAATATACAGATTTTTCATAATATGTGTCCTTTCAATATAATTGTGTTTTCTGCTTACAATTGAGTACAACAAGTGAAATCCATCCCCTATTTGAATTGTATTTGATTGATCGAGACCCCTGTAAAACCATCCACTGCAAAATAGTTTAGAAAGTACTGTGCACATAAATGTACTCAATGGAATACAGAATATTATGATGTTGTAAAATATTCATGAGATTCCTGATAAAAAAAACTCAATGAGACTTTTTCACAGTTCACAATTATAGCAACAGTCCTAATTTCTAATCTGTCTGAAAGCAATGGATTGAGTTTGGGTTATGATCTTAGTAAATTCTTGCTCCAAAAGGGGAATTACAGAAATGTCAAATCCTGTTTTTTAGCTGTGTCATGGTGTCTTGTTTAACTTGTTTTTTTTAGCGTTGGGAGGACTTCAAGACACAATTTCAATGAGAATGACATGATTGTTACATCATTTAAAGTGAAAATGAGGGGTGGATTTCACTACAACACACATGAAACAATTCAATTTAAAAGTAATCCCTGATTTCTGTTCAACCATGACAGTACCAAGAAAAGAAAAATCTTGTTTCTATTGAGAAGTTATAATTTGACATAGTAAGTGTGAGTGAGTTGAGTGAATTATTACATTTTAACATATTGCCCAGTATTTATTCACAAAACTGCAACGTAAATGTAATGTAAATATAAGTTTATTCCATCAAAAATACTAATAAAAATCATTTGAAAATCACAAAAACCTGTCATATGCACAAGATCATAAAACGGTGCTATTCACAATGGTATTTTTTTTTATTATTTTGTCACTCATAAAACCCTTTTTTATTTTTTAAACACAATCTTATAACGCAATATCCCTAACATTTAACCAGACCAAATAACGCAAAATGTTACCCATTTACGAACCTGAAATTCCAAAGGTCACAGGATACCCCATATTTACAGCCGAAGTGGACAAGAGGAGCAGCTGTGTTACTATAGCGACAGTGGCCTCTCTTCTTACCTCATTCACTCGTGCTCCCATTTCTTCACATTTCCTTGGGGCTGACGGCCTTTACAGGAACTCCAGAATGTTCCCAGAATGCCACGATAAAGAAAAGAGCTGTAGTTAGAAGTATCTATGAACATTCTACTGCAAAAAATGACCAAATACAAGTAAAAGGCTTGATATGTAGTATTCATAATGATCTGAGTATTACAAGTATTACTTTTTTATGATAAGATTTGTCATACATTTTTTTGCGTATTTTCTTTTATATAGACAAAGCTTTTATCATTAACGACACCTACGACTACACTTATTCCACTGCTCAAATATATCCACATCAAGAACTTCTTTTGTTTTCTCTTATTGCATGATTTCGGGTTCAGGAAGTAAAATTCCCCATTTGAAAGCCCCCACAGGAGTTTTGAATAAATCCAAATATTTAAGAGTTTGAAGACAGGAAGGGGGATGATAGCTACAGTAACTACTATCCACAATTCATCCAAAAAATACTATAACGCTTCAAAACTACATAAATTATTCAGCACTCTATGGTTTTAAAAGTATTATACAAACATGCTGTATATATTCTAGAAGGTCTGGTGGTTATTACTCACCAAGAAGCTGATCGGCCCCAAACAAGCTCCGACATTTTTTGTATAATC